AGTTTAGTTTATTGTATTTATACCAGATGTAACGAATTCTTGATTAATCGAATATAATATTTAGTGGAGAGATAGAGAGCGCATTACGTAAACAACATCGAAACCAGACAAAAGGCCAAAAGCCTCGGGTAATGCTTGGGTCAAATCACGACGGGATTCTAAAGATTTACATGAATGCAAGTGAGATAGAGATTGGATTCTTAGAGGTTGTAGGGAACGCAATGGTTGTGGATCTTAAAAAATGTCGTGAAGATCTGGAGAAATTGTTTAAGGGTTTGTAATTGTTAGATATTCACGTCTTGAATTCTTTATGCAGTAAAGTTTATGGAATCTTTTTATCTTTGTAGTGATGCAGTTGTCAATATTTTACCAGCGACAGCACCACCTACGACGTAATGCAACAGAAGAACAACTTGACTGCCTTCAAAGTTTTGGTGTATTTGTGTACCGTACGTAGCGTTCGTGCTGTACTTATTACTGATTCAAATTATCCATCATATTTTGCCCTGTCATTTTAGAGCGCGAGACAACAATCTACACAATGCACCGTTATAAAGGAGGTTTGCACATTGTTGACATCCTTACAAACTTCACGATTCCGGACAACAAGGACCAGGCATATGTGCTAGATGAAATCGTAGAAAAAGTGTATTTTTTTAAGGTAGAAGTCCTGGTAATCACTATATATAATGTTCGTTGATCTAACATTATATTTGGCATTATAGAGCCGTGTAATGGATTATTACGTTAAGTTGCAGGAAATCTCGCGGAAGGCGCAGAAATATACTCCCTCAAATGAAAATCCGTTAGAAGCGTCACCAGCCAAAAAAAACAATCGCAAAACGAATCAAGGATAGAGGAAATAATTCCCAAGAAATGATGATTTTCTTTCTACCTGTAACTGTTATTCGCAGTATATGATAGTGGTATTGATTTTTTCTACTATACCTCTAATAATTTTTGCATTTAATAAAGCAGGCCCTGAGGCCAATCTTGCATTAAAACATAAGAGATTTCTGATATAAATCCGCTTATCATTATTTAATACTCTGATAGTTGAGCTAATAAATTATGTTATGATTGAGTCACGGTTAATTTATCGGACTATGGCCATACATTAAAGATCTTGGACCTGCAAGAAGAGGCTTATCGGCACAGTATAAGAAATAACTTTTACGACACAGCCTGATAAAAATCATTACAAATACTCACATGTTCAACGGAGAATCCGCTTTCGAGTTCAGAATAGAGCTGTGATATCATTGAAGATAGGGCAACTAAGTCACCTTGCGAAAATCATGTATATATTATAATGTACGAAATGTTGAGGTCCTCGACTTATAATAAAGACGTTTAATCATATTTTCTTTTCATGTAACAATCACATCGATCATTGTTGATCAGCAGGGTGATTATATCTCATGTAAATTTTATTTTCCAAAGTTAAGCATCATCGCAGTTCAATCACGACTGATAAAAATAAAGATTTCCCTATCAGTCTCACGATTTGTCACAAGTAAAAATTAAGCATATTATGTCGATCGATTTAAAAAAATCGATTAATCATACATGTGAATTTTTGTCCAAAGTCTTAGCCAAAATACACAAAGTTCCCTAAAACAAAATTGTTGTTGAGATTTCTACGAACAGAGCAGTGCAAAGATCACGAAAAACTAATGTCTCCCTGTAAAGTGAAACGCCTTCGAAATTGGCATCCGTTTTGCCTATTTTTGCTAGATTATTCTTCGGTTCACAAATTCTTGCCATAAAAAGTGATTCACCAGACACGTCCAAACAAGAACCATCTATAAAGTTTTACCTCAAGGGGTTGGTACATTACAAACATGTGAAAGAAAATTAGGAAAAGCTGTTCATGGTATAGTATAAATAACAGCATTTCTTTTAATTAACAAAAATTTTTTTTTATGATTATTAGAATGTCAAACATGAGTTGAAACATATGCAAGGTTTAAAATTTCTTATCTGTTTAGATTGTCATTCTTAGCTGGTACTTCAAGATTTAACTGAATAAGAAGAAGATAATATAGAAGTTATAATGATAATTTGCTTTGGATTGTATAAATTCTAACATAATATTTAATTCAGATTCATCCTGAAGTATATTTACATATATCTTTTTTGATCTCTTATATCAGTTATATCATCAATCTCAAACTTGCTTTGATATCTAATAATCAGTATATTATGACAACTTTTTCACTAGCTTATTAACAACTTCTCTAGATAATATAGTGAAGTCTTTGTATGCTTCAAGCTATTTCAGGTATTATTCTTTAATCATTATGGATTTGTATTTTGTTGAACATGATATTTAAAGTATGAATCCAGAAGACAGACTGATTCCAGATAATGGTATTGATTGCAAGTCTTCTTTATTGATTTTTTCAATTTTCATATTAATTAATTCTGAATTGATTCTTCAACTTCTATATTAATTAGTTTTGAGACTTACATAAAACTACTATCTCTTACTTCTATCCTTCTTTTTGATATATGATTAATCTTCTTCTTCTTTATTAGTTTTATAGGTGTTAGATCCTATTTATCTCATCCTGCTTTCACTTAAGAAATAGTATAATGAATATCTTGCTTAACAATGGCAGTCATTCTTTTGATTTTTGATTTATAGCAAGTAAATATTTGTTGAAAATTAACATCTATTAATTGCGTAACTTCTGCAAATAAGAGATATGATTCTAACTATAAGTTACTAAATCCTACTTTGAGTTTAGTAATTAATTTTCAAAGAGCTTCTTAATGATCCTTAACAGATCATGAACTTCTGCTTACTGACTAATCTCTAGCAAATTCTAAAATTAACAAGTTAAGTTAGTTATACTTTGCTTATATCACTTTAATATTCTGTTTTAGATTCTCTAAATTAGTTATCTATTCAGTCATATTTTTCTTTATGAACTTCATTCTGAATATTTCCAGAGTCTCGTCAAAAGCAAAATAATACTTTTTACATGTTAAATTAATTAAAAACATCATCTGAAGAGCTTGAAGAAATTCTGGCTTGCTTTGAAGATCTAACAAAAATCATATCACAGATGCAGTATATCTTCTTTTTTCTATTATAGAAAATAAAGAAGCAAATATCATCAAGCTATGTATTTGCAGATCAAAGTTTATTATATAAATACCAAGCTTATGTAATTTCAAGTATTCTACCTATTGGTAAAAGTTATACTATACTTTAAGCAGATTATTATTTGTTATGAGAATATTACTAATAGAAATATTCTCTTATCCAAATAAGTTCAAGTACTTGAAATATTATCCAATAATCAGCAACTTATTTAAGTCTGTCAAGAAATTGAACATCAAGCTGTATAACAAGTCTAAAAAATTCATAATCAGAAAAGATAGCAATTAGTGTATTGCACATTAACTTATTAATATACTATTGTTCTAGAATGCAATATACTATTTGCTCTTTATTCTTGTAATCTTTCATGTTATGATAAATTATTTCATCACATATCAAATATAATATGCTATTCTTCATATAACCAAAGTTTTCAAGAAATATATCAATAGCCTGATGAATGTACTTATTTTTGCTTGGAGCTTCTCCAGACTCAAGAATCATAACATTTGGAGATGCTACAAATAATGTTGAGTTAATATCTTTTTTAATAATTACATCAAGATGTTCAACATCAAATTTCTGCTCTTTATTAATTAATTGGTCAAAGGTGGTATGAATTTTTTCTTGCTATTTTTTCATAATAGAACTTCTGCCAAATAGATTTGGATTTTCCAATAATTTTCTATTTACATTAACAAGTACTAAATATTGAAACTAAAAAATTATCTGCAATATCGCATGTGTAATATCACAAGTTATATCAAAAATATTGCTATATTGAAAAGTATTATCTTTCATATTGATATTATCAATAACTGTAAGATTTTAAATATTTGGATACAGATTAAGTCTTGACTAAGATTCTGCAGCTAACATTCTTTTTTTTGAACATACACTTCATGATCTCTAATATATGATACTACCTGAACTACATAAAGAATTTTGTGTAAAGATCCTATCATTTTTGGTCACATCAGGAAATTTTTTGGGGTGATTTGTATCAATTTTTATCATTAGTTATATATCGATATATATCAGAGTCATCAATGCATATCAAAACAGATATTTGATATATATCAATATATATCAGAGTCATTGATATATATTATTTAACGAAGTATATCATTAAATATCATTATTTTACAATGTATATCATTAAATATCATTGTTTTATGATATATATTGTTAAATATCATTATTTTACAATGTATATCATTAAATATCATTGTTTAACAGACTAGATTATTAAATATCATTGTTTAATAGACTAGATTATTAAATATCATTGTTTAATAATGTAGATCATTAAATATCATTGTTTAACAATATAAATTTGTTAAATATCATTGTTTTAATGGTATAGATTATTAAATATCATTGTTTGATAGTGTAGATCATTAAATATCATTGTTTAATGGTGTAGATCATTAAATATCATTGTTTGATGGTGTAAATTTGTTAAATATCATCGTTTAATAGTATAAATCATTAAATATTATTATTTGATAGTGTAAATTTGTTAAATCAACTTATTTCATTAAATATCGTTGTTTAATAATTTTTATTATTAAATTTAGAATTCTTTATTATTAAAACGAAAATCTATTTAATAAATATATTACTTTAAATATAATTCTAATAATCCTCAACTAATTGATCAATATTTTCATCTT